GTACCCGTTCTTTACTGTAGCTTACGCTTGTTTACATTTCTATAACTTACCTAAGTAGCAGGCGGTGTTGTTGGTCGAAAATAGCTCTTGCGGCTTAGCCGATGTTCTAGTACGGTCAGGTTTGTGTTTATGTTGACGGCAGAACCTAACATGCGGAAACAAGAAGATCTAAGAAGAGCAAACTGGGTATGAATACTGCAATATGTTAGTATACAAAAATATTAATGATAATGACTTATGCTACTACGTATGCTGCATGTGAGCATATAAGCATGCAGATATAAGCTGTAGGTGCATCAGCTCATCAGAAAGATTCTCCGGGAAGGCTACAATCGCAGGTGAAGTTGTACAGTGACTGATACGAGATGGCCGTACAGCAATGGGTGAGCCATTTCTTGCCGTGTAAGCGTGTGAAAAACAATGGTAACGTCTTGAAGAGGCGAATGTAGGGTAAAATGACGAACGATATGCAGTAGTAGCAAAGTTTTGTAGGATCGTAAGTTCCTGTAGACTTACAACTGCCCATAGTTGTTTGCTATTGGAAGGCGGATCTCACTATGCAGAATCCAGAGCCATACGGAACAGCGCAAAGGAACCAAAAGAGAGGGCGAAAACTTTGTCGTCAAATGCCGATAGCAGACCACAGGCTATACACAACAGAGGATCGTTGTTACGTTTGTGGTATTGGCAGCCGAGCGGCCCAATAATAGAATGACCTCTGTAGACAGGATTAATGGATAGCGAACCTTGCATCGCGGGTTTTCTTTGATTGAGCATCGACGGTTGGGTATTCAAGTGCCGCGGCACCGGTAGATACAGACAGACACGTAGATCTCACTAGAAAAACACGTATAAAAAACCACTCCTATGAAGGAATATCGTTTTTGGTATGGAAGTACACACACACTAGGTATAGCAGTAAACGGTAGTGGTAACCAAGCATATAATAGCCAATATGGGAGTAGAAACGACGTGGAAAGAATATTGAATGACGATAAAAAGAGTTGAAGCTCTTCGAAAGGTAGAAAACATTTTGCCAACCTGACCTTTAATATTACTAGATGATGAAAGAGGCTGGAAAGAAAGCAATCCGTTCAAGGTACGCCTTTAGGCCTCTGATGTATTTGATTAACCTTAAGAAACAGGCTATCGGTGATGCTTTTTGATTAAAGCAAAAGTTAATCTTTTACACAACTATTTTCCAAACAGTAATTTGTAATCACAAATTTGTTTGAAAACGGCAAATCTTTTAAGAATAACTTCACTCGGCAAGTCAAACCAAGCAAGTATTGCGCATAGATTTACTTTGAAGAAGAACATTCCAACTTCCATTTTTACCCAAAAAGTAGATTGACTAAATGACATTTTAAGTGAACCTAGCAAGCCAAGCATGAAACCAGCAAAAACAATACGCAACAAAAACATTCTTACGCTATTCACACCCCCGAACATCTGCGCACGCTAGCAAAAGCGGCTGTTCGCAGTCGATATCTTTGGGGGTCTCATCGTATATCAATGGGGCACATATATGCAAGGTTTAGTTTACATTACCTTTGCAGAAAGCAATCCTTAGTCTGTTCAAGCGTATATGTAGAGAACAGCATTGGAAGCTTTTAAATTTCCGCCTCAGTAGCCGGCAAAGATATCGCGGCGCTGCTATTTCTTTTCCTTATTTTTTGATTCCTTATCCTATCTAACGGCTTCCCTCTGCGGACCCGAGTCGCTAGTTGGCCGGGTCCTTCTGCGGCCTGCTAGGCACGGCTAGCAAGCAAGAGAAGGAGTCGTTTTTGACTTTCGTTTTTATCCTGCCGGTTCCTTACGAGCGGCAACCCTCAAAAAAGTCAGTACCAACGAAAACCGGCAGAACAGGCGAAGACGAGCTGTAGCAATTTGCCGGCTAAAGACAGGGTTGAACGGAGATAAAAGGACACGGCAAAGCTGCTGGCAGGAACAAGTTCGCTGCATTTATTTCCCGTCGTTCCCAATCCGCAACGAAAGAGCAGCATTCGGCAGAGGTTCTACGTGCGCTGCTGTTGCTGTAGTCCTACTTAGTGCTCCTGCCACTGCTCACAACGACGATGACGGAAATCTTGTCGATGTTGGCAGCGAGCCCCAGTTCGAATTCGACCACTGCTATCATTACTAGCGAAGGCGATCGAGCAATTTCTACGTAGTTCATCCCTTTGTGCTGTGTGCTTTCGCTATCTTTTTTCGCCACTTATCTACATCTCGCTACCTCATAAAGAGACGCGACGCGCTCAGAAAGAAAGTTACCGGCACACTTCAGTGAGATTTGGAGAAGTGGCTCGGCCCTTTGCCACCCACCCCCGCTTTCTGAACACCTGGCTCCTGGCAGATCCTGTAGACTATAATAATATTCAGCTTTCGATTCGAGTGACTTACAAGTTCGAGGCCGCCAAGTAACCATCCGGGGCCCTTGACGTCCTTCGGTTTTTCTTTCGGCGAATTGCGCAAGAGCAGCAGAAGCGACGCAGTGAAGAAACGCCAGTGAAAACGTTCGTGCGGAAGCTAAGGTGGGGGAACATCGCTAGTAGATGAATACACAAAGCGACACAGACAAATCGAAGTTAAATTGTAAGTCATTCACCCTCATACACCCATACGTCCCTTATCCTATCTTACCTTGTGTAGACTGGCTTCCTAAAGCGGCGAGTGAAGCCTCTAGTTTCATTTCAATCAAGTTATCAATGATGTGAGCATATGTCTATGAGTGTGCACGTCAAAGGAAAGCACAGCCAAGGCCGACTTAAGCGGCCTGGGTTGAACAAAGACGGGCTAATGGGTAGGGTTTAAAAACTTGGGCCCAGATTTGCTGGGTCGCTCGGTCGAATGGGACATCTGGTTGACGCGAGACAAATTGGAGCCACAGTTACGAGAGGGGAAAAGCCGGTAGTGGCATCCGTCAAGATAGAAAGGTGCTTTAAGCAGTTAAGAGACGGATTCAGCCGGGGCAGGTCGGTGGTCGACAGAAATAGGACGAAACATAGAAACTACGTAAGGAGACATGAAGGCACTGCAGGTTTCATCTTTTGCTTAAGTTGTCTGTCAGATTAGACAGCTTGCAAAAGAAACGTGGCCAGGCTACATCATTATAATATATGAATATGTGCACAACACACAGTTTTCCTATGCATGCCTACAGACTGCAGAGTTATCGTCACCAAATATACTGTTACGTGAAAATTCAACAACCCTGAGCGTAATTTAAATCCGGTGTTGGAGAGCTAGCCACATAACGTATTTCAACACATGCTCAAGCATGTATCCTATTGTCTGTTAAGAGTTATGGATTTGTGTGCTCTATGATTATATACGCAGTTTATTTCCTTCTTCGACGGAATTCTTGTTCGAATTACCTAATGTAGGTATAATGTGAAAAATTCGGTTTCACTTGAAAATCCAACCGTTGCTGGACTCTAAATTTAGAGTTTTTCTTTCTTCCAGAATACCTAGCAAACGGTATAAAGACGATCTGGTAACCATTTGTCTGAGTCTGAATTAATAATGGCTACATATTCAGGGCTGCCCTAATAACAAACCCAAAAAGATGGGCACTAGCTAACCAGACGACAGCGCTTTCGTATCGATACGTAGTTGCTGATATAGATATATATATACATGCACTATAGAGTACTTAGAAAATGTAAAATAACCAACAGGATACGCAATACAAATAATTTGATCTGAACAAATTTCAAAAGGAAAATAGACTATTAACTCTGTAACGCTTAATTGCAGCAGTTTCTTATAGCGGTATTCGCCATCTCAAGCATTTGTTGTTGTTTAGATTTGAAAAATTAGCGAATCATCTTGGTTTTACTTGAGCCGTTATTGCAGTAAGTTACATTTTCACTTCGGTAAAACCTTACTAAGTTCAACGAACAAATTAATAAATAAATAAAAATAAATTGTCCCACGATTCTGCTGTTGGTGTCACCTCCTACTATGCATTTGTCATTATGACGACCACCCTTTTGTCTCACGACCTTTCGGCTTCTCTCGTATCGCTCGGTAAGTCAACAGGTAGATATAAGGCGTCAACGACGATAGATATCTGATGGCGTAAAGAAACATTACCAAATACGTTTTGAGATGGTGTTAAAGTTAGAAGCACCTGAACGATTTTGTCGAATTATTGGACGAATAGCGTAAATTATAATCTAATCTATATTATGATGGATTCCGTAACGAATAGATTCGAAAACAGCGTATTCTTCAACGATACCGGCTTAATCTATTAGACAGAACGCTGCTTCCAGGCCGTATTGCCTTATTTCTATATGATATAAACTGTCCTTCAGCGCCAAGTGACCAATAGCTTTGATTCACATACAACACGCTGAACAGAACGAAAGATTGCGTCACCGTTGCTGACAGATATCAGGTCCATTGTAGGTTAACGCTGGTGCCGTCGAAGACACTGAGTTGCAGCCGTGATAACAGAATTAACCACGTCAATAGACACTATGTGATACACGACGTGACTGGGGGCCTGGGTGCGTGTTAGCAGTCGCTCTCTTTAGAGTAATACGCCGTAGGTAAGACTTGTCGCATAGAGGAGACCACAACAACGATACCGACACATGCTCGCCGTTGTGTAAGCTATTTGTCCCGCGCAACATGCAATAACACCAGCGGCATAGCTCGCTCACGCAGTCTTGAAAGGTCTATGCCGCTACCATCACCACTAACAAGCTCCACAACTAGGACTGCGATTAAGGCAAACAGCATTGCTATCGTCGTGTGCCTACCCTACTCGATCCGTTAAGGACCCAATGGCTGACGCAGGCTCAGCATTGCTTGCCGTGTGGCTTGGCTAAACAATATGCTTCGCATGATACTATGGCTTTTCTCCTCGGGTCTTCTCAGCAGCCAGCAGCTCGAAGCCAACAACTGGTTGCTACTGGATACATTATGGCTACCAGGGGGTTGGCGTGCGCATTGGAGGAGAAGCTTAGGGATGCTGTCGAGAGGCCCACTCGAAGATGGCGACAATAACGGCAGCTCGAGCCAGGATGGTCCATTTGTTGCCCTTGCAGACACACATATATTAGGGAAAATGCTCGGGTTGCTTGCGGACTTCACGTAGGAGTTCGGTTTTTAGCGTTGGCGGTAGCAGGGGCAATAGTTGCCTGTGTACAGGCCACAAAAGGACGGAACAGTATCGCCAAGAATCCTGAGTGCTTTTCGCTTGGTCGCAGTTGGATAGCGTCATCAGGCTTTTTACCTTGAATAGTGAATGGTGACCTGGATTGTAGGGCGTAGTAAGTTCTGGTGTGCCATGGTGTCGTACATCTCTGTCGCTGCTACTACGGCATGCAACTTGGTCTGGTGTGAGCGACAGTTGCCAGGTTAGAAATGAAAAACGGCACACCTGCTAAGGCCCATAACTGCTACCTGCAGCGAGCTTTCCAGCCTGGTAAGCGACAACTACTAGTTATTGGAGGTAGCAAAGGGTAACGAAGTGAAGTTTTGCTAGACAGCCTCTGTTCATTAGCTTCAAAAGATTGCTTGTCGTAACAGAAGGGCTAAAAATAGGTGCTACTACATTACTGATTTCGTAGAGAAAAGCAGATATGCACAACTATCTGCTCTATATATACGGTCCAAAACGAATAGACGCCTAGCAACAAATGGTAGATATTCGACGTATTAAATACTTATCATTATGACTATGGGAAATACCAAAAGTACTGATGTAGTTTATATAGTGATCTAGCAAAGGCTAATAGATGCGGTTGATAAACTTTTCTATACACCGAAAACGCATTTTCAATGTTACATAATACAGATCATTTCATATATTTTTTGATATCGAAGTTTTCCGACTTATAGGTAAAAAGAGACCAAGTTCGAGGGTAGGTGGTAATTAAAATCAAAACTTAGCTGTAACTAGCAAACGTGTATACGATATGTATGTGGTCCTGGCGAAAACGAAGTTTTGACTAGCCTGAATTAAATAGTAACCATGAAAATTATCCCTAACCCACAAGAGTACGGGTTTTTTTTCATAACAGTGAAAAACGCGAAGGGCAACCTCCAACGTTATGCTAGGCCACGTGAACTGTGTCAAAAACACAAATTTGAAAAATGTGTTTTTTGTAACGATATGATGGCCTGAATGGGTGTCATGCTGAGCACGTTCGATACGTTTTCCACTTCGACAACTTTCAACGACAACAAGCAGGTGATTGAATGGATTGGATATCCTGGACTTGCGCTATATGAAAACAATGATGGTAGAATCGTTTGGCCTAACGGTAAGTAAAGCCGTGCAGGAACGAATAAAGATATATGTTCAACATGAATCTCGTTTTCGTGATAGATGTCCTAAATAGTCCTGAAGCTAATCCGAGACATTTCCTTGCGGAAGCCGTCAGGTACCTAGAAATGACCACATAATTCAGTGTCGACCTTCAAATGTATCAGGACAATGTATAATGGAATATTGTAATTTTTTAAATCTGAATGTCATAAAATGAGAAATATTTTTCTACCCAACGGAGCATCTAGTACTGTCAGCCAGTCATTTTTGAAATATTGTTTAATCGAATGTTCTGGGACAACTTTTTTTTCTTTTTACTAATCGCGCCATTCTCATGCACGCCTCTATAGGTGAACAGCCATATATGTACTAAACCCACATTACAAAATCTTTATTTCCTACGGTTTTAAGCACAAAAGTTATGCTTTCTGTATATTCGTTAGATTTTTGTACACGCTCATTCTAATATAGAGAGCCGTCCGCATCTCAGTTATAACTCTGCCATCTGGTAATGCCAAACACAACTGAAAATGATTGACCAGTAGAACAGGGTGCGATGCATATCTACTAATAGCAGAAATCCAAGTGGAATCATCTCAGGCCTCTACTTGCAAAAGTATTGTCATCAAAAAAAGAAAAAAAAAACTTACCAAAAATAGGTTCGTTTTTCACTGAGCTAAACTTAGGGTGACATCTAATTTTGATAAAGAAAAAAAAAACACGTGATACCAAACATACACCTCTCGTAGGCGAGGTGAAATCATTTTTTATGTCAGAAGAGACCCTAGTTTTCTTTCTTTATTTATCATTATCAACTCTTGCAGGAACTACAGTAAATTTTAAGGAGACTTGTATCCCTTTTGCTCAGCTAATAGAACTTATTTCACTATCCCTTCTCTAAGAACTTATTAAAAACAATTTTATAATTTGTTGTTTCAAATAAATAGATTCGCGTCAGATTGCTCACTCATCGATGCAGAACACGTTTCGTTTTTCAAACGATGCCAGCAACACTGCCAGCGGCCGCCGAAGTAACCGGTGGAAGAAAAGACGATGGAGACCTTCTGTGAGCACGCTGTGCAGCTGATAGCGTACACACGTACCCAAATATAGACCCCGAGCAAACACAATGAGACACTCCCACACGTCCTGCTGCTCCCCTGCTCACCGGTAGGAGGATTGTCTGTACCCCCTCCCGCACGATGGGTGCTATCCACCCAAAAACTCAACTCGCGCCATACTTACCAAGCTTTCATTGGTATCAGGGCCCGCCGTTTGGAATAGAAAAACGAAGAGAGGGCCCGAGCTCGTTCACGATCATGGCAGTCTTGCCGATCCGACGACGCCATCCGCCACCGTCGTTTTGCTCTTTTGCTCAGGCTGTGTTGTTCTCTAGGTCCGTTTCGTTCCATCACGCGCTTGCGGTCCGTTCTTATACGCAAAGGCGGCTGATAGTCCGGCAAGGGACCTTTGCGTACCGAAACACAGAAGCGGAGATAGATATGAAAAAGAGGAGGAACAGACAAAGGACAACAGAGATCAGAGATCTGAGGTAATACTAAAATATGAAGGACGAGACAAAAGACGTGTATGGGGCTCGACTTGAGCCTGTCTATCCGTCCGGTCTCTTCTTAGCGTGCGCTTCTCTATATTATCATTACACGGCAAAATAAAGAAAGAGAGAGTGATCCAGAAAAATCAAGAAGCAAAGATACAGAGTCAAGTTGCCTTAGCGTACGGTGACGGCCGAGTAGCCTTCGACTATCACACAGGCTTGTTCCTCGCAGCGGACCGACGGGCCGGCCCATCAAGGAGGCGCGTACGTGGTGACTTAGGTTGCCGCCGTTCTTACCACGCAGCTAGCAGTGCATTAAGAAAACATTCACTGATAGGGAAGGGTACCAAGAAGAGTAGCCGCTCTATAGCCCTGCGACAGTGCGTAAGCCCTTTACACTTCATCGCTTACAATAGCTGCGCCGTTTGCCGAGGTTCTCTGAAGAAGTTGGGCCGTTTTATCTTGTTTGCTTTCCTTCGAGGCTTCGAGACGATTTCTCTAGCCTTTTGCTCTAGCCTCATCTTATGTCCATCGCCTCAGCAAGCCTAATAAAGGATTGCTGCAGCATATTTACGTATAAGCGGGTTCGAAGGTCTACACGGTGGCGAGTACTTGCTTCTTTATTGTTCAGAGGTCGGGCTAAAATGGGTGTCCATGTTGAGTTTTTGGTGATAGCTAATGGAGATAGATAAATAATTTCAACTAAGAACGACAATAACTATGCTAACATTTATGCCGTAGCGATTTATATAAGCACATTTTATGGTGTAGTAAATCGAAGTTACCTTCGATTGATAGGAGGTCGAGGAAAGTTACCAACATTAAGCATGTGAACTTTTTCACGTTGAGAATCGTTCAATTCCTAAGTGTTGCTAAAATTGCTTGCCGTACTTGACCGTTTTACAAAACAATGGGAGATCGAATGATAGGAAAGTTTGGTAAAGTAACGAGAGTTGCCATTTAACACAATTATGTAGCCTAAACATGAATACTTTTATTTTACTTTTGCTTGTTTCCGTAAAATATCGACAATTTGATGGACGCAAAAATTGTCTTCATAACTGAGATTATACGCCTTAATCTTTCCAATCTTTAATGAACATTTCACTGCATTGATTCTTGACACACTCCTGCATCTAGCGTAGTACACCTATAGGAGCCAGCCAATTCATTCTGTGAAACTAGAACGGAACAAGGGAAAATGGACCAAACCGCTGTGCCCCAAACATAACACTAGCATGGGGGTCCTTCGAACCCCACCGTTTTCCTGGTGTTGCCTCTTTAACATAGAAGGTGATTTCCGCTGAGCATCATTTGTTTCCCAAAAAATGGCGTACTAGTAGAATTACTTTGTTATCGCTCTAAATTTCGTACCTTTAATCTCGATAAACTTGTAGTGCTCGTGCAGGATTCGTGTGAATTACCAAAATACTGCTACTTTTCGTTGCCACTTTGCCTTCGTGTCTCATAGGTTAGTACAACGGTGTAGGTCAGTAAAGACTTAGTGTAGCTTTTGTGATTCAGAAGTGAACAGACCACATCCGCCACGTAAATCCGGCCCGGTAACCGTTTGGCACTTTTTTTCATGAAATACAGGAGATGTGGATGTTACGTTAAATAGACAATCAATTGTGTTTAATTAATCATTAAAGAACGTCATCACAATCGCGTGCAGGGCGTCTCTTACAGAAATGGAAAATCTAGTTATATTTGTCCATATACCTACAGCCAAAAAGATAATTTGCTGCAAAGCTTCCTATAGCGAAAGCCGAACCTTTGCAGTCTTGCATGGAGGATATAGCTAGGCCAAGGGCATTACAGCTTAAAACTCATTTTCTCTTCGTTCACTTTCTCGTGTCTGCTTTCTTCCTCCTATAATACTGACGTATGCATCGTATGACTACCGTGAGATGTTTTTGAGATTGCTTTCGACAACCAGTGCGTGAGGCTTCTGCTGTTAGAAACGCGGTCCTTTCCCAGTCTTTACATATATGTCCACGTGTATCTAATTTGTATTACCATTACCCGGCATCAGCTCTGCTTGACGTCCTGTCTGTACTACGTCGGTCTGGAGGTCAGAATCCCCTGCTATACCTCGATCCCTTTCGCCTGGCGTCTGTCGATAAGTCGGACGGGTAAGTGGAGCTACGAGTGAAACAGAGCTCTTCTTTTTCAGTCGCCCACTGACGGCCGTTGTGCGAGCCGAGGACCGACCAGTAGCGAAGCGAAATTTCCCGTTTTACGCTTCGCCGCCTTGATTGCGTCTCAGCTTTCCTCTCTTCTCTTATCTTTATTCGTCGCTTTCTTTTTCTGTCTCTGTCTACGCGTCTTTTTCGCAGCTCAGACGAACTGGCGGCGTGTGTTGCAAGAGGCGGGGGGCTGACTTGAAGCTGAGCCCAGCGACGAGTGGTGTTACCGTAGCCGATGACTAGGAGCGCGACACCCGCATCATCGGACCTGCGATCTGTACGCGGGCCGTCCATGGAGAATCAGGACAATCAGGAGACAGCTTCTCCACTTCATGGTTTCTTTCCTACTTTGCTTGGCTGCTTTCTTCTGGCAGGAGCAGCATTAAGGACAATGGACAATGAATGAATAGATTATGAACAACCTTCGCTTCTCTCCGGCCTGGCGCGTCTCGGCATGTCTGACTGGCGCTTTCTCTCTCCTATGCGTCGGAATCTCGTCTCTAGTCAATTCCTCTTATTCCGTCGTAGTGTCCAGCTTTCGCAGCCACCAAACCGGCCAAGCAACCGACACCTGCGTCGCTTTGTCCTCATGACGTCATTAGTATAGCTTGGCAGACACAGGCTTTAGTTTAGCGCTACGCCTATTGCAGAACCAGGAGACATCTGCACACGCGGACATATAAACGGTAGCGGATCAACGGGTACCAGCGGCAATGAAAGGGGAAAAGCGTTCATCTTCGCCAATGCGCACTGAAGTCATCCGCTGGTGATAGGCGACACGGTGATAAGGAAATAGAGAAGGAGCAGACGTCAGGCAAAAATAGGTCGCGAGAAAAGAGGAAAAAAACGTTGAAACTAAGCAAAAAGCAAAGACATAAGGCTGGCGAGCGGCAGGCCAGCAGTGCTGGTGTTGGGACAGAGGCAGGTACATCGACTTTCGGCATCATTGCCGCTGGCATTAGAGAAATCAAGACATTCTCCAGTTTTGGGTTTCTAAGGAACGACAATAACCAGCCCAACGAAAAGACAGGAAGAAAGCTCAAGCCGAGAACAAACGCGAGCGTCTATCCGTAAGCGCTTTGAGTGTACTGGTTGTATGTATGGCGAGACTGAGGATGTCGGCCTATGTTCCTCGAGCAGAGCCGTGAAGGCGAAAAGCAAAACGGAGGATGAAAAAGAAGGAATGAACGCTAGTAAGAGAACGGAAAATTTGCTCGGGCGGTCTTCGGCGCAGGGACAGGCAAACCTGCACACACAATCATATATACACAGACAGTTTTATGGGCACGATATGTACGCAGCTGCTTTGCCGGCAAAGATGACGACAGCGATGAAGCCAAGGAAGAGTTAGGCACGGAGTAGGTATGGACGAAAGATTCGTGGTTGAACACTTACGTGCAGTATGATGGTGTGAAATTAGCATATGAAGATGACTAGACAAAACTAATTCAGCGATGTATGACAGGCAGCTATTTAGCGCTGATATCTCCGGAAGTATACAGCATGTAGAGCAGTAAATGAGGAACAGGTATTTATGGGAATATTTAACGATCGGAATATGCTAATTGTTCTACAGGGTACGTTACCCTTCGGCTATTACAAAACTATTTTCCCATGTGGCGCTGAATCAGTATTCTTAAGAGGTAAATTAATGCAACTATTTTTTGTTAAATTCAGTGTGGTACTTTATCCAGAAATATTATTCATAGCCATACGCTAGCCACAAAAAGCCGTCCAGTTTCTTGGCTTTTCTCATTTTTGCAACTATCTCCTAATTCTAGTCATATTTAAATTTAACTCGAAAAACTAGGACGACCATAGTAGAATAAAAAGAATGAGTCCAGCGTCTATTTAACTAGTAAGGTATGTTGTGCATGAACAAAGGAAATAAACCCAGCTTCACATACGAAACGCTATAATTGTGTATACGTGTTAGAATGTCGCCACGCTACAGCCTGGAATACAATGTCAGAGGAAGTCTGATTTATTGTTACCTTTGAAGATATGTGATGATGTGCTTAGTGGCTGCTTCACACACTATAACTGTGTGTGGCCTCCTCACACCATATTATAGTAGGATATACAATAGCTTAACAGATGTAGTGCAACACATTAGCTTCTCTATATATTTTTAGGGTATATGTAAGTAGTTTTTAATTGGGTACTTCCTTTTCGAAAAAAATATAGAAAAACAGAACTTATTGGAACTGATAGACAGGGCAGAAAATTTAGGGAGCACTCTTTCCTTCGCAGTTACTTTTAATCACGGCTAGCCTACACGTCTTTGAAACATGCGATGGTTTTGCAACATGTATAAATGCATTACGCCACAGGTCTCATTTCATAATTATAATAAATAAGATTTGCCAAGTAATTGATTAAACTGGTCTAACTTATCTTACTTTTCTTCCATGTACGCATAAACTCTTAAAAATTCTTAGCTTATATAACTTCTCTATGCGCAGTAGCTTTGTAGATGATGGAGAAAAGAGAAGAAGGAAGCTGTGTGGATTAACAATCTAACAATGTTACTATTGTTGATAGCGGTATAAGACGCGTCCCATTTTATTCAAGCATTTTTTTTACCAGGAGTACTACGGTTTGGGATCACTCCTTTCGTTACCTCGACTGAACCCTAATAGCCCCATACGGACGAAAAACTGCTGCTGCAGTCTAGGCCAATGGCTCTCTACGTCTTAGTTGAACTTGGCATAGGCTCAACTTGACTGATAAATAATCTTGACTTGATACGAAATGTCACGAACGATCACAATGGAGAAGTCGGACAGCAAAGCTACCCCTATTTTAGAAGAACATACCAGAATACAGAAATGTGTTGGTCTGTTTCATTTTCTCAATAGCGAATCAAAATTACTAAAGTATTACTTTAAGGCTAATAAAAGTTTGTCTTACTAGTCGGAATTGATTATCGGCAAAAATAGACATCGCACAAAAATATACTTTTCACACTCCTACTTTATACATTAAGAAGCGCCTTTCTAACTAGGCTTTTTCATGTGGCCCTTTTGTAACGAAAATAGATAAAGCCAACGTAATCAACTCCTCTACTATTCTTGTGGGTAACGTCAACATAAAACTAACTTTACAGTTTCTTCCTTTTTATGTTTGACTTCGTTGGCGTTGGCGAAGCCTTTGACTGAACGAGAGCTAGAATGAGCTGTTTTGGCGGAGGATCCATTTTCAAGAAAGCACCACATAATTAGACACTGACGCTGACGCGTACCACAAAAAGACGGTCCTACTGTGTTGATCGACCTATGATTATTTCGATTGATCATTTTATCGAGTTTACACCTAGTGAAACCAGCTAGAAATATTTTTTTACCAGTCATCATATATTCCATCAATTATCTTTGTACTAGAATGAACTACCAAAATGCTAACTGAACAGTAAATCAGAGCTGATTAGGCCGACTTTCGATCGATTTTACCGGAGCCGACAAGTGAGCCAAAAAGATCATGTCGAATCACTTCGTCATGCCGGCAGCTGGAAATCACGCCTATTGACGACTAGAAGACACTGACACCAGGGAATATTCAGTCGCTCAAAGATTACTCAATTCACAGCTACGCTTGCTTAAACAGATATCTCTGTAAAATGGATCCATTTTCTCTTAATACTTGTCAAATAATTTACGGCGCCCAGAGGTTCTTCTTCGATAAACCACTTCCTAAATACATTCTAATCATATTTTAGTATGCATACTGTTGTGGTATAGTCATTGCAGACTGAGCGGAACCTAAGCAGCACTTCAGATCTTTATCAATAATTTGAATAATCGCCAATAAGTTTCAATTATAAATATCTGCATGGTTCCAAATATCGATCGATCGTGTGCGAGAGGCCGACGACATCTTCTTTTATTTATTAACTATCAAACAATGGAAAACGAGCTGTCAGTGCGGGCAGCCGAAGAATGACATTACTGATAACCATTTCCTAATTTTTCGCACGAATTCTGTTGATCGATTTCGTTCTAGTAAACCTCTCAGGGCTGATCTACTAACCCTGGAACGGTTTCCCGTAAACGGATAGCAAATTAGAACGTCAAAATTTGCTATCTTCAAGACCTCACATACTGTGTTCCAGTCCACCGCCACTGGTGCCACAGTAGCTCAAGCTTGAACTAGTGATTTTTAACTAATTAACCAACGATTTTTACTATTACTGGGCCGGTAAGTGACCCTTTACACAAACGAAACAATTGAACCGGCTAAGAGATCACATCCTCAAGGATATAAGTTTGTCAGCCACCAGAGACTTTCCCAGAGTAGTGACGACCAGGTTTAGCAAAGTACGAGCATCTATTCGGTTTCGCCCACGCACGTTCCCTGCTTAATTGCAGCAACTGCGCGCGGTATCACTGGATTATCGTGAAGCCTCTCCTAACACTTACAGACAGATATAATCATGCACGCGCTTCTGCCCAAAATTTACCTGTGTGTATGTGCGTGCGCAAGATCAGGTGTCTGGCAATCAATCAAGCTCATTTATTCACCTGTATTATATTGTATTCAAATGCATGAATTACATACATATATTCATGTCATCTGTAATAAACATAATATACTACAGTGTGCCGGATTAAAGTTAAATTTATAAGACTAAGGTTCCCGGAGCAATCGGTTAAGGGATACACAGGATGATGTATGGCATACCAATGATTGCATCATACACTACGTTAACCCTATTCATCAGTTTGTCACCGAGCGACGCTGCCCAGCGATTGGACCGATGGACAATGGGAAGTACCACACCTATTACAAAATTGTTTGTACCTACTACAAACACAAGTTCACGAAGCTCCTGTCCCTGTATAGACCATGATGGAAACTGTGAGCTATATAGAGTACTGCATGCCTGTTAAACATGTCGACTTTTTTTCCAGCTCTCGCCCCCATGGCCCTTCTGGTGAACAGAACTTGGCATCGATCTCCGCAAATTTCCGTTTCCGTTTTGCCATGTTCTTTAAGACGCTGAAGTTGATGGTAAACTAAAGTGACGACAAAGCTCCTCAGCGGATTGTGACGTCGCGATCAGTAAACAGAAAGGCCCAGTACGGACTTTCGGACGCAATTCCATGGTTTTTATGGTGGACAGTGCTCGCCTCAGTGGTTCAGACTAATGCTTACCCAGTATGCGACTGAAAAGGCGACCCTTTCGTACCTTTTCGTAATGTGCGTGAAGAGCCTGTGGCAGAAAATACAAAACAATCGCGTCAATGAATTACTTGAACAGACTGTATGCCTGCTCAATTACCGCTGTAGTTAGCGCTAAACTGAACGGCAGTGTTCCGCAATGTCTACTAAAACCATGACAGAGAGTAACAGTCGATTATGCTCGATTTCAGCTTAACTCACACTTAGCGGCCCCCAAAATGGAACAAAACGGCGTTACGACGCGCGTTACGCTAAAGCTACCGGCGACTATTAGCATTTGTGAACTCGGTTAAATATCTATATTAAACTATTTACCAAGAAATTACACGAGGATGCCAATGCACTAACATTTCGATTATTTGTAAGAAGAAGTTAAGAATGCAATTGATGGGAGCATCCACCCCATATGAAGAACAGCCTGAATCGATGCCACACTGATGGCCTTTCCTCCGTTCGAACCCAGCAACGTACCGACAAAGCTCGCACGATCAAACCACGCCCCTACGCACAGTTAACGGGGTTCTAGTATGCATACACCTCTTTTATTAATAATGAATCATGTGACATTCGACTGCGAGCCGCTGGCCGAGCAGCTACACCCAGTAACAAGGTAACAGTCATGCACATGTGTTGATATGGGTCAGATGTAAGTATGAGCTCGGTTGATGAAATTTAGAGAACCCTGACAATTTTAGCCATGAGCAAATGATGCGTATCAAAACGTGTCTACGTGTCAACGTTTAGCACGTGCCGCAAACATAAATACCGGTAGCGGTCGTGCTTGAGACCTATATAGACTACATGTGTCTTTCTATTTATCTACAATATACAGTCCAGCATCAAGAGCTAGACCGGCTCTTGTATCTTTATTTTTTATCTTGGACTTATGATTCCTTCGACAAACCAAATAAAAAGGGCATAGTAGCTAATGCAGAAATCGCGTTTAGCTAATCACCGTTTTTCTTGCCAAAATTTTCCCGTCCTCTTCGACTGCGACCCCCAGGGAACAGGTTGGATGTCGATCGACAGTATTGAGAATACGCGATTGATATCCGGTATGCAGACGAGTGTAGCTACACAACAAGAAACTCTTAATCAAAATGACTTCATCCTGGAAGTCTAAACAGAAATCCAATGCTACATTCTAAAAGGGTCCGTGTACAAATAGATTCAAAATCCATGAGCGAAAATTTGACACTTCCTCTACACTTTGCTGAATTGCGTTGGGCATTTGTGGATGCCGCAGTGGTAATTCTAGTCAAGCTACAGGGATGAACATGCTACCTAGCCTATGGAAAGGTATCAGCCTCGGAAACATGCAAAAAATCACTACCGAACTGCCTTTAGGTTTTGTCACACTCACACACGGGTCGCTCTGGCTAGCGAAATCGTCTGCCCTCGTGCTACGTAAAACGCAACGCTGATACATATCGCTTTCTCATCGTTTTATCGCCAGAAAGGCAACTATTAAACCAGCTGCTTTTACTACTGCTCCCCACATAACAGCCTCACTTCAAAATCTAGCTACGTGAGAAATTAAGGTGGAGCCAGGCGTACTATTTAAATTGAAGCAATTATCACCTCTATCTGGAAATCCTGTACGTTGTCCCAATATTCAAAGGCCATCTTGGGCCGGCGCCTGTGAGAAAGCTAATTTGACAAATATGCTCAATTGTTGCAAATGCAGGAAGCCAAGTAGTTGCGATCGTATACGTGTTACAGAGAATTGATATGGCGCACCCCTAAGGAACCCGAGATGTCCCCACATAAAGGTAGAGCGTGTTTTGTTCAGACAAAAACCATTCTATGCGTAAGTGTCTCATAAGAAAATGCTGTCCAATTTTTGTTCGAATACAGGAATATACGTTAACAAAAAGCGCCCTTGTGTCTTCGACTAAAATGGAAATGTACATTACGCGTCGGTTTAGTGAAAAGCAGCAGACGATGGTCCATGGACATAAATCAATTTTCTTTGTTAAACTAGATCTGTTGCGATTTGGCCATTAATTGATACTACTAAAGGTCATTTCTGTGATAAAATCCCAAAGCCCCGAAAAAGTTTTCGCAGTGTCTAGCATTTAATAAACGAGAATCATGTAAACTAGTCGTTGTCGTGGCATCGTAGTTACAGACAATTTAAATTATATGGTATTTAAATCCATTTTTAGTACAATAATAGTGTATAAGCCACTATACGGCTGCGCCATGCAGAACATGGATTATTAACAGGTTGGGTATATGTAGTGAGGCCTATTTCTAAGATAAACAGTGGAAGAATAAGGAGGTTTTAATCATCTTAACCATTCGTATTAGACACTGACTTGCCCGATTGTAGCGCTTAGTTCGGCTTCATCTGCAGCCCGCTTTATTTGGCGATTTACAGTGGCTGAACATCTAGGTAGACATGGTAAGTTGAAGGACTAGTCCCGTCTAACCTTCGCTCAGTATATTTGACATGGCTAACTATGCTAACTGCCACCCACCTAACAAATTACCGTTAACTCCTCCAGGCACTACTCGTAGCCACATGGCGGTCTCGCGCCCGTATGTAGTCAGTCCTGTCTTCCCGATAACTATCCACATTTGTGGCCCACCATTTGCTACAAAACGTTAGGACGTGACACTGATTGTTGGTCTACATATATGTAGTCAAAAAAAACATTGACTCCTTTTTGAGCCAAAAAGAAACAAATACTTTTCTATATTTTAAATTAATACTACTAAGTTAAATATGCGCTGTTTCGGTCGATGACATTTTAGTGAAAGAATAATCATCACATTGTAGAAATTCTGTGATTTCTCGGCGAAAAATTGTTACCTTCAATGAAGCTAAACCAGCACCATTGTTCAAAACAGATAATAGTCGGAAGGTGCAACATCCACGCTATACGATCAGTGTATTAATGTTTCCTATCTAATTTCTGCCGGGCAGGTAATCACATATGTGGTCCAATACTATCACGATAAAAGACGATGTTTTTTCCTCTATTTTTTCAGTGGTTTGTTGTTTGAGCTTTGTCAGCTGTTGGCAGTAGAGGTGCAAATTAGTGGTTCTTCAGCCAGCAACAACAACGTGTAATGTACGATGCCTTTTCAGTCCCACGGAACACGTGACATGACCGTCTTTGGCGTTTGTCTGAGCTTTGCCACAAACTGTAGAGCTCACGTTCCTAAATTTTTTAATTTGCACATGTGATTTTTTTAATATTCCTCTAGAGTTTCGCAAATGGAAATACGACCGAGTACTAATATCCAGACCCTTTTTTTGTAGCTAGTTTGCCCGGTGATGACTGTTTAGTCTCTTAGCCGTCATGGCCACTTACTGTTCAATTTTCACAATAATTTCACCAACTATATTCATAATAGGCCGATAACTATGGGGTGTATCTTTCACATCGAAATTTCCAAAACGAAGATGACAGAACAATTTTTTTCGTAAGCCTGGCCAACATTTATGCCTTTATCGTAATAGAGTTGTAAAAAATGGTAAATTTTTGCAGATTTCATCTAGCTTTACGACACTCTATGTCAAGTCCGAATGAAAGCACTCCAACAATATTAGCTCATATATTACACTCAAGTATCAGTTTCTGAAGATATATCATTTTAGAGCCGTATATAAGTAGATAGATTTTCGCAGTATCCTTTGCGTACTCAGAGAGGCCAACTAGGGTAGTGCATGGATACACTGAAATGAGTGATAGCAAGTACGCTTGTCCTACGAAGCTGTTGCGAAGGGTCTTCTGGGTGGGGACAAAATTCTCTAATCATTTTGATCGAAATTAGAGATATGCCGTTCCTGTGTCTAATCTGCTTATAATTGAATATGGCGGAAAAATTTTAAAAAGACAGTTTACGACAGCTCGGCGGAAGCAATCACGATCAAAAAAAAGTGCGTCTTTCGGTACCTGTCGTTGTGTCCCAAGAGCCTTCAGAGCCGAAAGTTGCGAGGCGCCCTAAGCCCCGGGTCAGCTAACAAAAAATATTTAAACCACGCCCAACTTATTACGCACCCCACGGTTTGTCTGAAATGTCTTCACAGCCCAAATTTGTGCAGCTCAGGGAAGGCCCACAAAAGCATGTTTTTAACTACGACCAAATTGATACATGGGAATAGATAGGTATCAGCTGGTACAAATGTATGCCTATTTATCGTAATGGTAGTAGCGATAATGGCGAAATACGAAGTCTACGAAATCATATGTGTGTAATACAGGCACGACGTCTAGCTTACACTGCGCAATAGCACACTAAAAATTCATATTTTTCAAGCCGTATTCAACCGGAATCATTGTCTTCTCAGTACGTTTTTTCCTTTTAACTTTGCTTTAATATTTTC